CCAGGTTTGGTGTTAAATTATGTGGATTTCTTTTTCTAAAATCTGCTAACAACTACTGAATCTTATGTGGTTGATACTAACCAAAATGTGTGATGATATGGCTATGCTATCATTTTTGGTCGCCTAGCTTTTAGATATACAAGTTCTGGGTTTGATTGTTTATTTTGCTGTGATTTTAAATAATCATTCTAGTATTACCTGAAAAATATTTGAAATGTTATTTACACTATTTTGAGAAAAATCAAAGCAAATCATTCTTTGGTTACAATTTTATTATCGTGTCACATTCTAATCTTTCAAGAAAAACACACAGCGCCTATATAAAGAGACTGTTCATAGCCTAGGCAGATTTCAGTTCTGCACTGTTTTCTGTAGCTATTTATTGTAGGCAGCAAGTGACTCTTCTGTGTAGTGCCAGAAGCTTTTGCTGGTAAAAAAAAAAAAAAAAAAAAGTTTTTATAGTGCGCTCATCAGTGAATCAGCATAATATGATTGCTGTGTTTCTCCTAAAGCAGAAGTCAGCCATACTGTCGTGGAATAGGCTTAAAAAGAGGGATTCCTCACTGCCTTCTATATACAGGAATTCTGAGTGGTAAAAGCTTTTCTACGCTTTCTCCAGTGAATGTTGTTGCAACTTGACTGTCCATTGAGTTACAGCCTTTCATGCCTGCTCATCAGTGAATCAGCATAATATGATTGCTGTGTTTCTCCTAAAGCAGAAGTCAGCCATACTGTCGTGGAATAGGCTTAAAAAGAGGGATTCCTCACTGCCTTCTATATACAGGAATTCTGAGTGGTCAAAAAGCTTTTCTAGAACCCTGTTGTGATCCAAACAGGAAAAATGAGGAAATAAAATAGAAAGTATTTTGCTTCCTCGTAGATAAATATATGTAGATAGGCAGGAACTCAGTGATTGACAATGGACGGTTATAAAAGATTTTCTGTCTTGCCCAGATTCACTAATTTTCATGTCAGTAGAAATTATTATTGCCAGATAAAATGCATGGCCTGTAAACTGGTGCGGTTAGGTCCTGTTCTTTACCCTTGGGAAATCGTAAGTCTGAAATGTATTGGCTGTGTTATTGTGAGAGACAGAGAACCTGCTCATGGCCTCATTATCACCATTTCCCATTTCTGAAATGATGTACTTGGCCTGCATTGAGAGGAAGGTAAAGAGCCCAGTTTACACTAAATTTGAATAGAGAGCTTTGTTAAGATCGGTTTTTTATTGATAATACTTTTTTTTTCAAGGCAGGGATTTTTGTCAATCTGTAGTAAGATCGATTGGCATACTATTTTCTTTGTTAAAGAATACATTTTTTTTAGTCCTGAGTAACCCTTTTTCTGATAAGAACAGTTTTTACAGTTGGCCATTAAAGTTTTATGCTCTGTTGATATTTGTACTGGTGGCTCTATTTGCATCTTTCTTTTAGATGGATAATTAAAAACTTTTATTCATAGGTGGCACAAGATCTCTGCAAAGTAGCAGGCGTTGCAAAAGTTCTGGTGGCTCAGCATGATGCATACAAGGGCCTCCTTCCAGGTGAGGTTTTCCAGTGAGAAAAATGTAATGTCTAAATTATTCTTGACTATATTAATATAAAAATATTCTGAAATGTATTTATCAGATGTGTTTTATTCTCAGAGGAGCTGACGCCATTGATTCTGGCAACTCAGAAGCAGTTCAATTACACACACATCTGTGCGGGAGCATCTGCCTTTGGAAAGGTGAGAAGCCAGAGAATGTGGACTCCGATGTCATTATGTCTTTGTGACAAACTGTACAGCAGACTATATTTAGATAGCTGGTCCTGGCTTTCTGAATGAGTGGTAGTTTTGCTAAGATTTATTTTTTCAAGATTTTGTTACGATTTTTTTTAAAACATGATCTCCAGGTTTTCAGATTTGGTCATAGAGACAACTCTGTTCTTTTAAGGTTTTGTCCCAATTTAATAATTACCAGCATGCCACTTATAGATTTTCAAATTTTGTCATGGAGAAGACTCTATTTGGACAACTTAAAGTTACTTTTCTTTAAAAACGTGTCGAACTACTTCTGTGTGTCTATGAATGTCATTTGTATTAGTAGCGTATGTTAAGAGATGGCTTATTTGGGTGGCTGATATTTTGAAAGGCCAAATTCTATCTACTTGGGGATTTGGGAAGGGCTGTGTGGTAGTTTAAGATATCCTTAAGGCAAAGAAAGTTGTAATCTGATGATGTGCATTGTGATACGTCTGAAAAAAGAATGTGCTATCAGATGGATAGTGGTCTGTATGAAGTTTTTTTTAAAAAAAAAAAAAAAATGACAGGGCAAGGTAAGGAGAGCCCAAGAGAGAGAATTTGTCAGTGGGTCTTTCTTTCTCTGAGGCCATGGGTGTTATCTTAGCTTTCTTTTATCCCCTTCAATAAGCTGCAGTTTTTATTTTTGCTTTTAAAGATTATAAATTAAGTTGTACATAAACACATTCTTATTATAAAGGATGCATACAGTACAGCAGTATGCAGAGCAAAGGTATCAGCGTTCCCCTTATTGCCAACCTCCTCTTCTCCAGTTACAGATGTCAACAATTGTACATTCTTTAGGCCTCTTAGTGTGGATTTTCAAATTATAATGCACGTACAGTTGTAAATTACATTTACAATTCTGTTGTTACCGATTTTTAAATATGAATTGGTGGAATAAGATATAAGCTCTTTCATTAGCCATGTTGAGTGGCAATAATAGTGAGCTCCAAATACATTGACCTCTTTACTTGCAAAATGAGCAATGTTTGTGAATATCTTACCTGTGGTACAGAATTGGCTTCTAGACATGAATCACTGTGAACCGTGTAGGGGCCTTGCCCAGTTACCATTGTCCATTGCTCTAGATTGTTTTTAACCCCTAGAATTATCAATTCGAACTCATTAAAATTTTTCTTCTAAGGTTCATAGAATTTCTAGACATTGACAGAATTTTCAACCTACAATGTAAACATATGAGTTTAATGAACAATTGTTCTTTTAATAGGTTGTCACATTGCAGACTATCATAATTTTTCCGGTTTTTATCCGAGGTTTATTAATTGAAAAGTAAGATGGTTCAACAGACACATATGACCTTAGGCTAGCCATTTACCTTCCTGAAGTTTGTTTTTCATATATGGAAAATGATGCAGTTTGACCAAGTGATGTCTAAGATCTACCAACCAGATATGTTCCCTGGAATCATTAAGTCAGAGGCTTGACATCCATCTACGGTACTTGGGATGCTGCAGATGAGCGTGGAACTGAAAAATCTTTTTTGACCATTCCATCTCTGAGAGTTTGGATTCTGTGTTGGATGATTTAAATACTTTCATGAGTCTTGCGTTTCTGTGATGATAGTTCACCTAAAAGACTGTTAAACCAAGAAAGGGTGTTTGTTGTGTCTGGTTAGCTCGATTTTAACATGTTGGCCTTGATTGCTGCGTGGTGACAAGTGAGAGTTTGGAGAACCAGATTCGTAATGGTAGCTGGTGCTACAGCCTCTGAATGAGGTTGTAATGAGAAAGAGTCCATCAGATGAAGCTGCACAATTGGCTCTAACAGGCCTTCTCCAGCTGTGGTTTTCAGATACCAGTTTTATACCGGTGTGCTAGAATTTTTATATCTGTTGTCTTTGTGCATGAAAACACTGGCAGTTAAAGTCTCTCCTTCCCTGAAACCATGCGGTTAAGTCCGCCGGATAATATAGAGATAGATCTTTGTCTTTTATCCATAGATGCTACACCAGTTGACAGTCCCATCAACAGTGAACCAGGGTTCACTTTTCTCTACTCTCTCTCCAGCATTTCTTTGTTGAGTTTTTTGATGATAGCCATTCTCAAAGTTGTGACGTGGTATCTTATTGTGGTTTTGATTTGCATTTTCCTGATGATTAGTGATGTAGAGCATCTTTTCATGTCTGTTGGTCATTTACATGTCTTCTTTGGAGAAATGTCTATTCAGGTCCTCTGCCCAGTTTTAAATCAGATTGTGTTTTGGGGGTTAAGTTGTATGAGTTTCTTATATAGTTTGGATATTAACCCCTTCTTGGATGCATCATTGGCAGATATCTTCTCCCATTCATTAGATTGTCTCTTTGTTTTGTGATGGTTTCCTTCTCTATGCAAAATCTTTTTATCTTGATATAGACCCGTTTGTTTATTTTTGCTTTTATTGCCCTTGCCTGAGTAGACATATCCAAAAAGATATTGTTAAGACTGATGTCAAAGAGCTTACTGTCTGTGTTTTCTTCTAGGGGTTTCATAGTTTCAAGTCTTACCTTTAAATCTTTAATTTATTTTGAGCTTATTTTGTATGTAGTGTAAGAAAGTGACTCATTTTCATATTTTTCTTGTTATCTGTCCACTTTTCCCAGCACTATTTATTGAAGAGCATGTCTTTACCCCGTTGTATATCCTTGCCTCCTTTGTCGTAGACTAATTGACCTTATAAGTGAGGATTTATTTCTTCTGGGCTCTCTATTCTATTCCATTGATCTGCCTGTCTGTTTTTTTTTGCCAGTACCATACTGTTTTGATTATAGCTTTGAAGTATAGTTCGAAATCAGGGAGCATGATATTTCCCACTTTGTTCTTTCTCGAAGTTTTTTGTTTGTTTGGGGTCTTTTGTGGCTCCTTAAAAAGTTTGGGATTAGTTTTTCTAGTTTTGAGAAGATTGCCATTGGCATTTTAGTAGGAATTGCATTGAATCTGTTTATTTTTGTAGTTAGTAAAGACATTTAAAAAATATCCTTTTAATCCATGAATGTAGTATATCCTTCCATTTATTTATATCTTCTACAATATCTTTCTGCCGTATCTTACAGTTTTCAGAGTACAGGTCTTTCACGACTTTCATTAAATTTATTCCTGGGTGCTTATGCTTTTTGATGCGATTGTAAATGAGTTGGTTTTCTTAATTTCTTCTTCTGATCATTTGTTATTGGTGTATATTATTTTGTATTCTATAACTTTACTGAATTCATTTATTCTGGTAGTTTTTGGTGGAGTCTTTAGGGCTTTATATACAGTATCATGCACATAAGAATTTTACTTATCCCTCTCTGATTTGGATGCCTTTTACTTCTTGTCTGATTGCTATAAACTTCTAATACTCTGTTGAATAGAAGTGATAAAAGTGGACATCCTTCTCTTGTTCCCGATCTAAGAGGAAAAGCTTTCAGCTTTTCACCGTTGAGTGTGATATTAGCTGTGGGGTTGTCATATATAGCCTTTATTATGCTGTGGTATGTTCCTTTTATGCCCACTTTGTTGAGAGTTTTTATAAAGGGATGTTAAATTTTGTCAAGTGTTTTTTCTGCATCTATTTAGGCGATCATATGATTTTTATCCTCCATTTTGTTATTGTATTATGTTGATTGGTTTATGGATGTTGAACCATCCTTGCATCCTGGGATAAATTCCATTTGGTCTTGAGGTATAATCCTTTTAATGTATTGCCGAACCTGGTGTGCTAATATTTTTTTAATTTATATTTATCAAGGAGATTGGCCTGTAATTTTTTTTTTTTTTTTGTACTGTCTTTGTTTGGTTTTGGTATCAGAGTAATACTGGCTTGGTAGAATGAGTTTGGAAGCATTCATTCTTCTTTGATTTTTTTTTTTTTTTTGACTTGCTTAAGAAGAACAGGTAGAATTCACTTGTGAAGCCGTGTGGTCCGGGGTTTGTTCAGAGTTTTTTGATTACTGCTTCAATTTCACTGCTAGTAATCAGTCTGTTTAGATTTTTTTTTTTCCTGGTTCACCCTTGGAAGGTTGTATGCTTCTGGATGTTTATCCATTTCTTCTAGATTGTTGAATTTGTTTGCATGTTATCATTTATAGTATTCTTTAGTGATTCTTTGTATTTCTGTGATGTTAGTTGTCACTTCTTTCATTTATGATTAGATTTGTTTGGGCTCTCTTTGTCTTCATGAGTTTTGCTAAAGGTTTGTCAATTTTATCTTTTCAGAGAACCAGTTCTTGGTTTCATTGATCTTTTCTATTCTTTTTTAGTCTCTATTTCATTTATTTCTTTCTGATCTTTTTTTACCCCCCTCTCTTCTGCTCACTTTGGGCTTTGTTCTTTTTAGTTCTTTGAGGTATAAGTTTAGATTGTTTATTGGAGAATTTTCTAGTTTCTTGAGGTAGGCCTGTATAGTTATGAACTTCTCTCTTAGAACTGCTTTTGCCGAATTACATAATTTCAAACCTTTTATTTTCTAAGAGATCTTAATGTTTTCTAATTATGGTGTTATAAACTACAAGTACTTTTCAGTAGCTTTTCTACTTTGGTTGAAAGACGATTACTATATAATGTAGGTAACAAACTAAAAATTAGAAAATCTTTCCTGTTGGAATTATGACAGCTGGAAAATTGATGCAGGCTGTGAACACTTGTAAGCATCAAATTATATAGAACCACTTATTAGATATAGATTAGGTATCCGGGAAATAGAGGACATAAAACCTCTACCTTCAGGGTGCTTATAAATTTAGTTGAGGGCATGTTTATTAGGAATTATTTTAAATCAAACTACATGTGATTGCTATCTAAATAGTGTAATTATACATGCATGTGGAAGGATCTAGAATAAAGGAGTAATTAGAAGGCGATGCTGAGAGAATTCCAAGAGAGCAGGGAGGTTTAGCGACGGAACGAGGAGAGGGACTTGAGCACTGTCACAGTGAGAAGGACTTGCCCACTAGAGGGGGCGTCTGTCGTGTGCCATCACGTTCAGGAGATACCACAGTGAGAGGGACTTGCCCACTAGAGGGGGCGTCTGTCATGTGCCGTCACATTCAGGAGACACCATCGAGTGAGCACTGTGTAGAGAGCAGTGTGGCATTCAGCTTTACTAGTTGTGTGATGGAAGCAACACTTCCCTTTTTGATTACATTTAGATTATGTCACCATCTAAGAATCTTTGAGTGTAGAAAGTTCAGATATTCAGTCTTTACTAACCGACTCTCTCTTAGAATTTTGGACTAGAAGCATAGAGAGTCTTTTCCTCTGACATGAGGTAAGGCAACTGATATCTGGGGATGCTGTGGCTTTCCCAGTGATCCCTGCTAGCGAGAGCAGAGTTATCACGTGTCTCTATCCCAGAGCCGTGATAGGTGTATACAGGAAAAATATTTACGCTAATTTGCCTTGCTCTTTTTATACATGCTGTATAGGCTGTGCTTCAGCTTTCTAATTTTTATGGTTACATAAGATTACATTATATGGATGATTTATAAACCTATCCCCTGTTGATGGACATTTAGGTTAGTTTTGCTTTTTTTTATGCAATATCAATTTTTTAAAAGGTGAAAATGTCTGCTTTGAAATCATTTCTTTTATATATGTCAGGTCAATATATACAAGTATATTCTTTCTTAGTATTTGAGAATTTTATTACTTTTCTAAATATTTTTCTATTTTATCTAAATTCAGTAATTCATAAATGTCACACTTTATAAGTAATATTAAAACAATATTGTATCTCATAATTCAACATATTGAGTTAAGGTTGTTTATTAATATAAAACTCATAAACTCTTAATGCAGTTAGAGTAATGATAGATGCTCACTTAATCTCAAAGCTATCCAAAAAATTGTGCTTTAAGTTGTATGTCTAAAGATGTATGTGAAATATGAAATATTTTAATTAAAATTTCTACAGAATGTGTATTTAAAGAATGTTATCGTCAGTAGTTTTTAGCCATTCATCAGCAGGTAGGTGTGTAACTTACTGCTTATTTTACTTATAGAACCTTTTGCCCAGAATAGCGGCCAAACTTGATGTTGCCCCAGTTTCTGACATCATTGCGATCAAGTCACCTGACACATTTGTGAGAACTATTTATGCAGGTGAGTGCACAAAGAAAATAATTAATAAACATGTTAAGTTTTTGTAAATTTTAAAAGCAGAAATTAATCTTGAAGATTGGATTTTTTAAAAAGTCATACACTTGCTTGAAATATACTATCTTAACGTGTCTCAAATTCTTTTAAAATCTTGGCACATTGCACTTCATGTTCTTCATGCCCTATCATGTTTTCACTTATTTTCGTCTCAACACGTGAAGTAGCTTCCCTCTTACTGAGCCGTTCCAGCTCATACTGTTGAGTTACTGATTGTGGTATTTTGGAGAGGGAAGCTTTTGTTTACATGTGCCTTATTAGTGTGGCTGCCTGTTCCAGTTACTTGCTTCCAGGCAAGTCAGCATTTGTCCTATTTATAAAGATGTTCAGTGTTAAGCAAATATCTACTGATATGATTCTTCAATGCTACGGTTCTTTGTCCTGTACTTAGTAAAGGTAGAAAACTGGCCTACAGTTATTTCTGCCTTGTCTTTGTGAAGTAAATTCTGAACCTCTAAGGAATACTTTTGTTGCCTTTCATTTTTTTTTAATACATTGTGTATTTTAGGAAATGCTTTATGTACAGTGAAGTGCGATGAGAAAGTAAAGGTGTTTTCTGTCCGAGGAACATCTTTCGAAGCTGCAGCAACAAGTGGAGGTAGCGCCAGTTCAGAAAAGGGTGAGTGTTAATTTGGGGTTTATATTGTGTTTCTTGATTTTTAGTGCATAGATTAGAGTAGTATAAGAGGTGATCTCTAGTTAAATTTCTAATGCAGAGTACTTGATAGCTCAATCTAAATGATATCCCCCATCTTATACAAAAATAAGAAATATTTATGACATGCTTTTTTTCATATCATTTTTGGTACTAGGATAGTAGCTTTGGTAGATAATAGGAGTGGAGAGAGGGTCCAAAAGATTACTGTCCTCTCACTGTTTCCTGTCATGGTCCTCGGGAGATTCAGTAAGCGTGTAGAGTGTCACACTTTAACATATTTAGTATCTTATTTTAACCTCAGAGAGATAGGGTTCTTCCCATTTTACAGGTAGACTCAGCATTAAATGACTTCTCAAAAGTCATACAGCTAATGAGGTGAAAGCTGGAATCTAGTCCCTTTAAGTCTCTCAAAAAATCAGAGAATGAAAGGAGCAGAAAAAATGCACAGTAACATACTTAAATTTTATGAAATTAATTTTTTGTGTGTTTCTCTTAAAAATTCTTATTTTGGAACTTCAACTCATGGTCCTTTTTTCGTTATATATGTATCAATGCGTGTAGCATCAGATACTTCCCCGGTGGGGCTGTCGGAATGGCTTGACCAGAAATTAACAAAAAGCGACCGGCCAGAGCTAACTGGCGCCCAGGTGGTGGTGTCTGGTGGTAAGTGAGATGTGTGATGTATTGGTTTTAAAACATGACGTAAGCTTAAGATACTTTGATTTTATTAATATTTCTTTTAGAGGAGCACAGATTTTTTTCCCCCAAAGGTAAGAAGTAGGTAAGTTGCAAGTATTATTCCCATTTTACCAATTAATAAGTGAAATCATAAACTTAATACACGATTTGGGCTTTCTGTTGCAAATCTGAGTCCCTGGCACCAGCGGGGAGCATTTTACAGATCTTGTCTCCATAACTGCAACTTGATATCTTTGTTTTGCTGACCGACTTCCATGTTATTCTGAAGAGTATGGTTGCTTCTGAATCGTAAAAAGAACAGGTTGGACTCAGGGCCCTGTTGTATGCTTCCTAACCCTTCACTCTACTTTGAAAGATTCCCAGTGCTGGCTGGGTCGGTCCCTGTGAATAACTCTTTGAAAGTTTCTTCACATTTAGTATCAAAGCTGTTAATATTGTGCAAGACTTTCTTCTTTTTGTATGTCATGCTCCTTACTTTAAAAAAACAAACAAACTTTATAGTCTGCTATGATTTTAAAATCTTTCCAAACTAAACATCGAGCAAAATAATTAAGCATCCAGACGGCTCTGTATTGCAAGGACCACTGAGAAGAAATAATGTAATATTTCAAAAAGCTATTTCTGACTCTTTTATTCACTTATTTCTTCAAGAAATGTTTATTGGGTGTCTTTTCCATGCCAGGCCCATTGCAAAGTGCTGGAGAAACAGAGGAAAAAGCAGGGCTTCTTGCTGTGAAGAAGTTTGAAGTCGAGTGCAGTGACTTCATTCAAATAATAAATAACTTCATTCAGTCATCACTCAATGAAGTTTTGCAGAATACTGTGGATATAGCAGTGACCAGATAGATATGGATCCTCCAGTTAAAGAGATTTTAAACACTGATTATATAATGAGTTGACCCTGGCTAGTTAATTGTAGTAGTGTTGAATGCTTTATAGGGCAGATACAGGACTATCATTAGGGAAGTCAGGAGAGGCTTTATAGGAGGTGGCATATTTAATGTGGCAGATGTGTAGTACAAAGACCACTCAGGTACACAGAGTTGCAAAATTTTTATAGGATGGAGTTTATGTTTGCTTAATTTGTTTTTTTTCACCATCTTTTCTTTTAATGAGGTCGGGGTTTGAAGAGTGGAGAGAACTTTAAGTTGTTATATGATTTGGCAGATCAACTTCATGCCGCAGGTAAAGTTATTTTCTTTAGTAGAAGAATGTTCCCTTTTCATTGGAAATATTTTTTCTTCATTATTTCATTTTATGTATAAGTCACTCAAGGGTGCAAATTATTTTGCTTTCTCTGGTTTTTAAGTTTACTCTCTGAAACAGTTTTCCTTAGTCTCCAAATAAATGGTATAGCATTCAGCGAGGAGAGGGTGTCCTCATTCTTTTCAGTTATGTTATACTCTTACATTTCCATGTCTTAATAGTTTTTTCCATTTTAAAAAACTGCAATTCCTACTCTGGATTCAGGAATGCATTTATTTTTTTCCTCTGTATTGGTGGTCTAATACTTTAATGCAAATAGAAATTAACATTTGATATTATTTTAAAGTTGTCATTAACCATTTCTATGAAAGACAACTTGTTATTAAAAGTGTGTTGATGAGTTACTCAGTCATGAACAATGTGCACGGACCTCGAGGGTAATAGGTTAAGTGAGCAGAAGAGTCACCTGATCTGATACATATTAAAAGGATCACTCTGGCTGCAGTTTTGAGACTAGACTGTAGGGGGAAAGTACAATAACAGGGAGATCAGTTAGCTTTTTCATCCATTCAGGTGGGAGATGCTCATGATTTGAACCAGGTTAGTAGCAGTAGATGTGGGGAGAAATAGTCATTTTGGGGGTATATATTTGAAGGTAGAACCATTGGGATTTCCTGACATTGCATATGGATTACGAGAGAAAGTTTTTATCTGGCAACAGGAAGGATGGAGTTGCCGTTAGCTGAGATGGAGAAGACCCCAAGTGTGCTGTTTCCAGGGAGAGATCAGGAGTTCAGTTTGGGGCATCTTAAGTTTTGAGATGTCCAATTCTAGACATCCAAGTAGAGATGCCAGTTAAGCAGTTGGTAACGGGATGTGGCGTGCAGTGAAGGAGTCTGGGCTGGAGCTATAAAATCAGTTGCATTTAGATGGTGCTTGAAGCCATAAGATTGGATGAAACCACTAAGGGCCGTGAGTGGCAATAAGAAATAATAGATCCCAGGACCGAGCCCTAGACAACACTGTAAGATTAAGAGGCAGAGGAGAACAAAAACCAAAAGGAGTGGTGGCTGAGGCAGGGACCAGCACAGATGCTGGTGTTTTGAGTCCAGGAGGAAGCGTCTCAGTAAGGGAGGGCGGAGCGGCCACTGTGTCCAGAGTGCTGCTGATAGGTCAGGGAAGGTGAGATGTGAAAAGCGACTAATGGATTTAGCCACTTCAAGCTCATTGGTGACCTTGAACAGTTTTAGTGGAGTGGGTAGGGCAAAAACCTGATTGAAATGGGTTTAAAAAATTGGTCCTAGGTAGTGGTTACGTGGCCGTATTCACTTTTCGATAAGCCATTGAGCAATACATTGTGATTTGTGTGGTTTTCTGCATGTTTATTATATTTTAATAAAAAAGGTTTGAGACATAGACCTGGAATTAGAGACAGTGAATACAGACAGCTCTTTAGAGGGATTTCAATACAGCAGAGCAGTAGCTAGAGGGAGAGCAGCCCCAAAAAGGGACTTTTTAAAAGATGGAACAGATGATAGCATGCTTACATGCTGATGGGAAGCTCCAGTTGAGAGGGAAGATTGACCACACAGGAGAGAGGGAGAGTTGCTGGAGCAGTGTCCTTGAGTGGGCAAGAGGGACTAGGGACACAGCATCAGGTTGACAGGTTGTGTGTGTGAGCTGGAGCATGTGGAAGGTCTCTTCTGATTGTTTCAGTTTTTTAGTGAAATAGGAAGCAAAGTCATCAGCTGGAAGTGAGGATGTTAAAGAGTGTTGGAAGTTTGAAGGGAGAGGAAGAGATAGGAAATTATAGTTTATGAAAGAGTGAGAAAATTAAGGCCTGTTTATTAAAAGTAGAACCCAGTTAACAGGCTGAGTGTTGGGGTTTTATGCAGTCGTGCTGAACTACAGGAGAACAAGTACGGAGAAGGTGAAGACATTGCTTAGTCAGTTAACCAGAGATGGAAGTTTTGCCATTTGTGTGTGATGATTTCAGGAAGGCACGTTGCAAAGGAGTGATTAGAGCACTGATCGTAGAATTTAAGGGAACAGGATTGGAGAGGTCAGTGAACAGAGGTGTAGGCCACAGTGGGGTCAGAGGGCTGTTGGAGTTGGGCACTAAAAGGGGTCAGCTGGTAAGAGGAAGTCACAGAGAAATGCCGGAAATGGGAATTATTGAGGGAGGTGGGTAATGGAAAGGTTGGAGATATGGCCACGGGGGTGGCTGAGGTGACATGAAGGACAAGATGACTGGAAGAGGATCGTTCAAGGAACCAAGAAACCAGGGTGTTGAAATCTCTCAGGATTAAGACAAGATGAGTATTGGAGAACGTGACAATGACTCAGAAGCTAAAAATCATTGAGAAATTACGAGGATTGACCTAGTGGTTAATAAAGGAAGGCCTTAATAAAATAAATTTCTAACTGTACTACGTCAGTGTCTTTTTTTAGTTACCAGTGAATATCCCAACTAGTTGAATAATCGGACTTAAAAAAATCACATTTTTTTCCCCTTAGTTGGTGCTTCTCGTGCTGCTGTTGATGCTGGCTTTGTTCCCAATGACATGCAAGTTGGACAGACGGGAAAAATAGTAGCCCCAGTAAGTACCGCAACAAAATAGGCTGCACAGAATTCTGTGGGGATAAGAACTGTATGTATTTGTCGAACACTCATCTCTATGATTTATGTCTTATTCCGTGTACTTAAGCAGTTAGCCATTATCATGTCAATGTACTCTTTTCACGAGGTCTGTGGATTTCTTAGTTTCAGTAAAATGCTTAGCAGTTCCTAAAGCCAGCATTGTTTTTGAGATATTTTAAAGCAATGGGACACTGGTCGAATTCATATTACAACACCAAATTCAAAATTGGTAAAAGCAGCGTTTTATTGTTAAGTAGATTTTGTAAGTTCACAGTGACATTTGTTTACCATAATGCCTGTATATTAGGAATCAGTCAGCAAAAGCAGTCTATATTAATGAACACAGATTCTCAAAATCAGAAGCTGTACGAATGGCAGTTGTAGCCTTACATCTTCTGGAACACCTACTTTATTTCTGTATTTTGTCTAGTTGTTTGAAATTCAGAAAATTCTGATCCATAAAGATAAGTGACACTAGAAAGTTCTTCAGGTAAACCTGTCCAGAACTTAGGAAAGGAATGCTTTGATTTCAAAGTCGAATCAGTAACAATATCTAACGATTGTTCACGTTTCTTAGATGATCCAAGTTTTCAGTGATTAGGGTTCTCCGCCAGTTTAAATCTTTATTGTTTAGAAGAAAGTGAGTTATTTACATAGTTTTGAAACAAGATGCAGATATCTCACGCTTTTCAAAAGTTTGTGTCAAGACACTTTGCTTTTGGGAAGACCTACATTAGTACTCGTTTCGAGGATTTTTCTTTTTAGGAAAAAAACATGAAAAGTGAAAATCACATTCAGTGTTTGTTCTGCAGGTGTGGAGGCAGCAGCACCCCAAGCAGTTAGTGCTATTTTAGGGTTCGTATGTTGTTTGATATGATTTAGTATGTTATTTTGGGGGTCTGAGAACTCTCAAAAAGTTTTCCATATACATTAATGATCATTGCTTTTTTGTTTTATGCCATTTTGGCTTATGAAAAGTTTCATAGGACTGCTCTACTTTTGGATAGTGGAGAGAAACCTATATTAAGTTGTAGCCCTTTTAAAAAACCTGGTATCTCAGTGCCCTGTTCTATCAGATGTCCATTCAGACTTTCAAGAGTCAGAATTCCAAGTCTTTTCTTTGAAGTTTGTTTCGAAGTGCCTGTTCAGTCTTGCCCATTTTAAAATCTGGTTCTTGTCTCTTTGTAGAAGTTCTGTATATAACCTGTGTACAAATTCTTGGTCAGATACATGTACCGTGAATATTTTTTTCCCATGCTGGGGCTTTCCTTTTCATTTTCTTTTGACAAGCAGAAATTTTTAATTTTTATCAGATCTAATGTATTGGTCTTTTGTGGTTAATACTTTTTGTGTTGTTCACCTTATTCAAAGTCAGATAAGATGATCTAAGAATCTGAAATAGGTACTGAAACTACTTAAAAATGAAGTTACAAAACCATGTGACCTGTTTGCTTGTGATTCCTGTTCGTTAGGCCGCGAAAGAGCATTTTTGGAGTAGATGAGCTTGCGCCTTCCATGGAATTTGATGAGTGTGGCACACGTATGTTTTTTGTGGGAATCTTGTTTGTCCAAGTCTACATGAGTAGAAAACTTCAGGCTTGAATCTACAACCTTCCTAATCAGTAATACTTCTACAAGATATTCAAAGACATGCACCGAGGTGGCAAATGGACTTTTATTTATTTTGGCTAAAAGGGAGCACTTGTTATTAAGTCGAATAGTAGAATGACAGGGAATGAACAGTGGCATCGTTAACTGTATTGAAAATAAATGTCATACATTCCGCTTTCTTCAACCTCACTGTTGTGAATATAGAATTATCGAAATTTTTTATAAGGAATTTAAATATATGAAAGCTTTTGAAGACTTTCTTTAATGTAAATCATGCAATCTGTAGAGATTCTGATTCATTAATTCTGAGTTAGGCCTGGACATCTATATATATGTGTGTATATTTTTATTTAAGGCTTTAAAACTTTTGGAACCCATCTCAGGTCTATAGAAAACTTGTAAATAGAGAGCAAAAAACCTTTATTTGGGGGACCATTTGAGAGTACGTTGCTGAGATGGTGCCCCATCATCATCTAATATGTAGGACATTATCCTGCATAACTACAGTACAACCTTTAAAGTCAGGACATAAACACTGATCGTTTTAATCTTGTCTCATCATCAGACCCCATTCAGATTTTGCCAGCTGTCCCAGTAATATTCTTTATAGCAAAGGCGTCTAGTTCAGAATCATGTGTTGCATATAGTTGTCGTGTGTCCTTCCATTGTAAACAGTTCCTGGCTTATATTGACTTTGATGACCTTGATACTTCGGAAGATTATAGGACAGCTGTTTCATAGATTAGAATTCTGATTCATTAATTCTGAGTTAGGCCTGGACATCTATATATATGTGTGTATATTTTTATTTAATTTCTGCCATCAGTAATTTGTGTCTTGTCCATCAATTTGGATTTGTCTGATGTTTCCTCACAATTCAATTGAGGTTACACATCTCCAATAGGAACATCACAAAAGTGATATTTTATTCTCTCAGGTGGTACACAGTTTCATTTTGTCTTATTACTAATGATTTTCACTTTGATCATTCGATTAAGGTGATACCTGTCACACTTCTGTACTGTAAAGTTGCTTTTCCCTTTGTAATTAATAAATGATTTATGCAGAGGTACTTTGAAATGCCGTGAATACTCCAGTTCTCCTCAAACTTTAAGTTTATTCATTTATATCAGTATGAATGTATAGTTTTTATTTTATTCAGTGAGTGAAAATCTGTTCTTATTGATGTAGAAATTATCCTACATATGGCCATTGAGGACCTTCAGGGTGGCTTCTGTGTCTTTTTGACATGATCTCACCATTCTTTGAGCCCCTTCTTACTTTCTGACTGAATAAGATGTTCCAAGCCCATTTAGTACTTTCTCGTCCCAGCCCTGGAATCAGTGTTTTCTCCAAGGAGCCCTGGTTCCTTTTAGTGAAAAATGGTGTTTAGAAGACAACTGAGTGGTAGTTGCGTTCTTCACTACGGGGGTGTCGCTGTTCCCAGGGCCTCTCAATGAGTTTTCTTTGTTGGTGTATTTGACAATTAACTCAATTTCTTTAATAGATTTAGGGCTGTTCAGGTTTTCTATTTTATTTTGAGCCTCTTTTGCCAAGTGATATGTTTCAAGGAATTGGTCAAGTTCTTCTAGGTTGTCAAATATATTGGATAAAGTTGTTTATAATATTGCCCTGTTTTTCTTTTATTATCTGTAAGATCTAGAGTGATAGCTCCCCTTTAATTTCTGCCATTGGTAATTTGTGTCTTATCTCTTTTGTTCCCTTCTCTTCATCAGTTTAGGTAGGAATTTATAAAAAAAATTTTAAAAATCTCTTCAGTTATCTACCTTTTAAACATAAGAGCTTTATTGAGTTAAGTAGTTAGTTCAGCGGCTTTTAGTATGTTCACAGAGTTGCCCAGCCATCACCTCCGTCAGTTCTAGAACACTTTCATCACCCCGAAAAGAAACTGCATACTCATTTCTTCCCAACTCCCCTAGCCCTAGTCAGCCACCGACCTTTCTGTCTATATAGATTTGCCTATTCCAGACATTTCATATAAATGGAATCATATAATATGTGGCCTTTTATGAGTGACTTTTTCATTTAGCATAATGTTCTCAAGGTTTATTCATGTCATTAGTATTCCGTGTTATTGCCAAATAGTATTCCATTACACGGATATACCACATTATCTGTCATCTGATGGGCATTTAGGTTGTTTTTCCTTTTTGGCTCTTATGAATGATACAGATATGAATATTTATGTACAAGTTTTTGTGTGGACATATGTTTTCATGCTTCCTGGATATATACCTGGGAGCAGAATTGCTAGGGCACATGGTAACTCTGTGTTTAACCTTTTGAGGAAGTGACACACTGTTTTCCAGAGGAGCTACGCCAACAGTTTACCAACTTTTAGCTTAAATTTTTTTTTTATTGTTTTCTTTTTACTGCCTTTTGCTCTTAATTTCCTTCTAATTACTCTTTGGGTTCACCTAACTCTTAAGGTAGAACTTCATTAAATTTATATTTTGCTTGTTTTTAAATGTAAACATTAAAGTTATAAATTTCTTCTAAGTGCTGCTTTAGCTTGATCCCACAAATTTTGATGTGTTGTGTTTTTTCATTCATTTAAAAATTTTTCTAATTTAGAA